CCTTTGGGGTGTGTTTAAAAAATATTATATTTACATCAGAAGCTGTTCCTTTCTTTAATAATATCCATCAATATGTTGTGATGAATTCATAAAAACACAACCATTCCAAATTCTACTTCTCAACTAAAATAACATTTTTTCCGTCACAGGTCTCATTGAATTGTAAAGTGGCCAATAGGAGTTTGGGTTTTATTCAAACACCTGTTACTATTTATTACATGTATACGAGGGCCGCGTTTTATATTTCGTGATTTTCTTAAAGTAGTCCTGCCATCTGGCGACTAACGTTTTTATAGAAGTTTGACATTTTCAGGTTAGATTTACTCAGTTAGGTTTTAGCGAAAAAGTGTTGCTTGTGTTTTTTGTGATAAATTTAATAAATTGTGACGGTTAAAAATGGAATTTAATGGGGAGCATTTTCGTGCATTAATTTTTTACAACTTTAGACGTTGGCTAAGTCAATAACAATGCATCGATGAACTTAATTCGACTTTGGGAGTTAAAGCACCAACTGTTTATCGCTGGTTTTTGGACTTCAGTCGTGGTCGTAGTTGTCTTAAGGATGAATTTCGTGAAGGTCGTACAAAATCGATGTTTGTCCAAGAAAACATTGATGCAGCTCGGAAACTGATTTTGCAGGATCATCATATGACTTACCATGAGATTGAGGTATATGCTGGTCCCACTAGCATACATGCAATTTTGCATGGACATTTGGCCGCTAAAAAAATTTGTCCGTGTTGGATTCCACGCAATTTGACATCAGCTCAAAAAAGGCTCGTGTTGATTGGTCGAAAGAAATGGTACAAAAATACGATCTATGTGTATGATGCCGGGACTGAAAGTAAGCAGCAGTCGACTGAGTGGATCTTTCAGAACGAGACAAAGCCTACAAAAGTTGTTGGCGTGCGCAGCACCTCGAAACAAATGGTAGCCTGTTTTTTCAGGAAACCTGGAAACGTTGCAACTGTTTCTTTGGTGAAACGTAACAGAGTCAATTCTGAATGGTACACAACCATTTGTTTGCCGAAAGTCTTCTAAGAAATTAGATAAACCAGCCGCCGAGGACGAATGACTCTCCAGGACGACAATGCTCAGTGCAAACAAAGAACTTTTTGAGCATTAAAAATGTTGATTTGATGAGTCATCCGCTATATAGTCCTGATTTAGCACCTAATGACTTCTTTTTCTTGGCATACATTATGAATAAATCACGTTTGCAACGTGGACACCAGAAGAAGTGATTGCCTGATTGATTGATTGAAGTGTATTGATCATCGGGGTGAATATTTTGAGAAACAACAAAGTCATATTTGTTGGTAGCTTATAGTTTTTTATTGCAAATCCCGAAACATAAAAGGTAGCCCTCGTATGATCAAGGTTTACAACAATAACCAACAATTTCCAGATTAATAATTTTCTCTTGCAGCGCGACCGAGTAGATCTAAACGGGCAGTAAAATATTATGTGTACGTAAAATATTTCCCTTTCACCTTGGGATTTAGGACGGCAGGTTGCGTTTTTTTTTTCGTCTCACCGTTTGTGGGAATACCGATCGAATACTGCCATTCGGCACAGGTATCCAATTAGACGTTTGCAGCTTCCTGCATGTCGTCGAGCAAATTTATTTGTGTGGTTTATTGCTGTAGATATTGAAGCGTTCATGCTGCACGCGATAGGGACTAAATCGGGTCGTCCGGGAGGCCCCACCGCGTGGATAAATAACTTCGAAAGATAGCTAACATTGTAGACCGCGGAGGAAATACCTTGGCGAAAATAGCGATTTAAGCGATAACGTTAGATTTACGATCTCTTTCGCGAATTCCGGGGGTAAACGTGAGTGTTGAGATCAATGCAGGCAAGACGCATCCGAAGACGTTATGTCCGCCATATCTTAATAATGTGGACTTGTTAGAAACGTTTTGCTTTGCCCTTTATTTAAAGCGTGCGCGCGTGATAGGAAATAACGTTTTCTGTTCCGTTTCCGTTAATAAATTGTTAAGCGCAGGCAGCGTTCCGCAGCCAACACGGTTTTTTTACGGTAATATTTTCTCAAAACATTAACGTGAGTCGTATCCTAAAAATGACGGAATTGGCGGAAAAATATGCTTCCGCTTTAAATTAACCCACATAGCCAGCAAAATAGATTCCGCTTCCGCTTTCTCTCTAAGAAACAAATGCCAGTCCAATATAAAATGCAAGTTTTGAGGTAAACATATTGAGAATATTTTTAAAACATGAAGTAGGTTATATATAATGGGTGTTTTTTTTTCGATGTATAGAACTTTAAGTTGGCATTACTGTTCAAGATGGCGACCGATTTAATAGCTGTCAAGTGATTTATTCTCAGTTTGGTTTGGCAATTCATCATGAATAGACTCACGCCTGAACAACGCTTGCAAATAGTGCAATTTTATTTCGAAAATAATGGTTCTGTGCGGAATACGTATCGCGCACTACGTCCATTTTATCGTCGACAAAATCGTCCATCGGAGCAGTTAATTCGATTAACCGTGGAACGTTTTCGCAACACGTTTACTCTTATTGATAACTCGCATCCCCAGAAACGCCGAACGGTGCGTAAAGAAGAAGCTATTGTTGCTGTAGAGCGTAGCATTGAGGAAGATCCGAATGAGTCCATCCGCCATCGAGCACATGAATTGGATCTGTGTCCATCCACTTTATTGAAGATTTAGCGGAAGGATCTTGGTTTACGTGCTTACAAAATCCAACTCGTGCAAGAATTGAAGTCAAACGATCATCAAGTAAGGCCGTTGTTCCCGATTTTCATAAGCTAATTTTGTTTAGCGATTAAGCGCACTTCTGGTTGAATGGCTACGTCAACAAACAAAACTGCCGCATTTGGAGCGAAGCTAATCCTCAAGTGTATGCCGAAACCCCGTTACATTTAGAAAAACTGACTGTTTGGTGCGCTTTATAGACTGCTGGAATCATTGGTCCGTACTTCTTCAAAAACGATGATGACCAGAACGTTACAGTCAATGGTGATCGGTATAGAGCTGTGATTACTAACTCTTTCATTCCTGAATTGAATAACCATGATATCCAGGAGATGTGGTTTCAACAAGACGGCGCAACATGTCACACAGCCCGTGCCACAATCGATTTAGTGAAAGACACGTTTGGTGACCGCCTAATTTCACGTTTTGGCCCTTTGAATTGACCTACAAGATCTTGTGATGTAACACCGCTAGACTACTTTCTGTGGGGCTATGTAAAGTCATTGGTCCATGCGGATAAGCCACAAACGCTTGACCATTTGGAAGACAACATTCAGTCATCGAAAACTGGAAGTTCAGATTGGACTACATCCGCGCCAGCCGTGGCTTTCATATGCCAAAAATCATATTTAAAATGTAATGCCACAAGATTATCTGTCAATCGAATAATCCATCGTTTTATTGCAACTTAAAGTTCTATACATCGAAAAAAAACACTCCTTACTTACCCGCTTATATCCCCAAACACTTGGAGGTTCCTGAATTAATTGGATTAAGTTATCCACATCCATCATTCCACTAATCAACAGGGCGCATACAAAGTTAACAAAATTCCGCTATCCGCTGCCAGAAATTCCGCCTTTATTTCGCCATGTGTGGGAAATACTGGGAAAATATCATAGCCGCCGGAGGCGCATTATTTTTCTTCGTACCGAGGCCACTATAATATCTAATAGCTATATGGCAGTTTGATTAAAGGAACTTTATTTGGGTGGTTAGTCATTAAAAATATGTCACATAATAATATTTTTCTACTCCCGTCTGTAAAAAGCCTAATTATATACCGACCTAACATGCGGGAAGCGCCACTTTACCACTTCAGTTTCGTTTCCAACGGATCCGAGCCACTTCGGACATTTCCGGAATTTTACCGCACGGGTTGGGGAGCAATCGGATGTTTTCGGAGATATTTCCCACGCCTCGAATTGTGACGTTTGTCAATTTTTACGGTCATGTCAGTGAATATATTCGTGTTGTTTTGCGAAAATGTACCCAAAAACTAACAGTCGTAGAAAAAGTATAGTATGCAACACGTTCTGTAAAATTTATTCGTTTATTAAACACTCGCTCCGATGCGCTCCGCTCGTGTCAAATAAATTCGTCAAATGCCGTTTACCACACTTGTTGCATAATTTACTATTCTCGTACATTTATTCACTTGAACTGTTCCTCAACACTATTTACTTAAATGAAGAAAACAAAGTAAACCCAACCAAAAACAATGCAGACAGTAATGTAAATCGTAATTGTGTGTTAGCGGAATTAAATTCCAAAATATCTGCCTCATTTTTTACATTTTTCGCTAAATCGAATACTCGATACAGACGTGAGTTAACTTTTTAAGATGGGTTTTAATTAAATAAAAAATGTTGTTCCTGTGTAAGAAGTCTGTATTAAGATTTCATCTATATTCTATAATCAGTGTTATGATTTACAATATTTCACATAATTTGCCATTTACAATAATATACTAAATTTATCAAAAAAAAAAGTGCATTAACCGAAGGGGAGTATATATATATATATATATATATATATATATATATATATATATATATATATATATATATATATATATATATATATATATATATATATATATATATATATATATATATATATATATATATATATATATATATATATATATAAGCAATTCGATCTAATAAATAAAATTCATTAATAATAAAATAATGACCTCGACATCATTTGTACAGGGTGATTAATAGTTGCTGGACAGGTATTGCATCTTGGGAATCAAAGGGGGGGGGTATTATTATAGTGTGATAAAAATATCTAATTATCTATTTATAAAAAGTTCCCCGTAAAGGTGAGAGAAAAATACTCCGCTACGGGAGTCTATGGCGCAGCGCGCCGAAATAATCCGGGTGACGCGACCTTCTCTTCATTATGGTAATCGTCCCGAATCTCGGAAATTACTTGCGACTGTGTTGGCTTTAAAAATAAAAATGATCTTACCGACGGAACTGTCAGATGCCGAGTTTAAAAATTTTCGCTACGATGTGAAACATTCCAGCGGGCTAAAGTCCGACGACGTCACAAACAAAAGCGTATCGTTCACGTAACGACAACCCTCTGCCGATCGCCGGTCTCCGGAACCCCGCACGCGCATTCTTCGGTCCACACTATCTCGCAACACCCATATTTTGACACTAAAACCACTCTCGCTTTCTTCGTCTATAACCCTGGACTTAAAAAGTTTTGCGTGGGCACATCAGCGCTCCGACCAAACGTTACCTTACAAAGGTAGCTTTAGCACGAATCTGAGGTTAAACGACACAACAACAAAGTTGGCGGCCGGGCGTGGGGAGACCATTCTCGGTTACGTCACCCGAAGGCTGTCAAGTGGATCTAGGAGGCTATGAAGTAACTGCGAGAGTCTGCTCAGTCTGCAGTCGACGCGTCTTCCGAAATACCACAAGTACGTATTTGCGATACACCCAGTTTCCATATATCCCAGGTACTGAGGTTAATTGCAGTAATTGGTCATTTTCCCACGCCTTCAATTTTGAAACAATCGAAAATAAATTCATTTTTTAGCAGGTTCTATAAAATTGTCTGGAAAACAACGTCTTAAAATCATAATTTGCGGTCTACTGTAACATCTTCGTTCAAAAAAAGACAAGAAGGCTTTAGACTTTCTGTGTCATTTGAGTTTGTGCCAAAGCAAGAAGAGATATCAGTGAAGGGGCTTTATTCAGTGTTTGCTGGGTACTTGAGATATATGAAAACCGCCTATCATGGTATACGGTATATCATTAGACCCCAGAATCAATAGGCCCCAAGTTATTGACTTCCGGGAGTACTTGAGATAAACCGCCTGTTACGGTATGGTATATCATGATCTAGAAAAAAAGCTTTAGCTTTCACCCAACCATTCTGATCTGTAAAAGGCAAAATTGGTTGTTCCAAAGCCGAAGGGGCCACTTTAAGAGAAATAATGAATCAGCGCGGGCGTGGCGATCGCAAACTCAGATGCTTTCACAAAATCAACATCTCTTGCTTTATGTATAATTATAATAAAGTTTTAGGTAAGTTTGAAACGAGGGTTTTTAAAAACATTAAGCAATTTAATGTTTCTAGCAGCTTTTCATCACAAATCAAGAAACATGGTAAAAAACTTAACCCCGACCATTTGAAGTAACTTTTTTTAATTGAATGGGAATCCATTTAACAAGTTAAGTTAGAACAAACGATGTTCAGACTTTCACACCTAGCCACAACGGCGCCATCTCTTGTCGGACAACGGGACTGACATTTCTCGATGGGAGGTGAAGAGTTCTGACCGCCCAGTATGGTATTTGATTCAAAAAATGAAGTTAAATGCTCATTTCTCTATACAAAATGTACTTAACCTTCGATTATATGTTACCCAAAAAAAACTGATGATTTTCACAATAAATTGAAAGATGCTTGACATGAAAAAATGGGGGTTTGAACTTTGAGAAAGAGACGAGCACTTTTCGGCATTATTGAAATGAAGTTTGATTATTAATTATTAATCACTACGTATTAGACATTTTAAATATTCCTAATTAAGTGGAATTAAACCATGTTTTAAAAACGAATAGCGATATGGCCACCGTGTGTTTCAAAAGATCAGTCTCCGCAGAATAAAATTTTTTTTTTTTAAATAAAGACCGGGACAGCGCGTACGCAGTCCCGACTACCAAAAATTACGCGCCCGAGTTATCCGCATTAGGGATAATCGCGGGGGTCAGCCCGACCTTAGTGCAATGGAAGGGCCTCGCCCTGGGGGAACCGCCTTAGTGATCACGGTAACCCCTGCGCCAGGTAAGTATGAATTGATTCTCATTGCGTGCCATCTTAAAGTCAGCTAGCCGTAACGTGTCGGTAAGAACATATGCAACAGTTGGCTGCCGCTGCAACTAACGACATCTGACGTCTTGCTCGGGACTAGAACAGAAGACATTTTGCCCGTTGGATGGAAATACGAATAACAATATCAAATTTTAAATTGGTATCCATTACCACGTCTACATTTAGAACCTCGTATTTAAACTTTAAAACTTATAACTAACTAGAATATATATAAGAATAATATAACTAGAAGATAAGGACAACTGAGTACCTACTACTATAATTAGTAAAAGTAGGGCAACATTGCCGTGTAAAGAGAAAATCGGACTAATCTAAACACTGCACCTTAAGGCACTCCACAGAATTATGACAATGTAATTGTTGCGTGCCTTCAAACAAAAATTTAAATGGGTATGAAATGCATCTCAAAGAGAAAACAAGCATAATCAAAGTCTGAAAAATAAAATCAATAACCTTAAGTAAAACTGCAGCAGACCCATGTCTCTATAAAGTAAGATTGTACATCAGGAATTCACTTACCTGCATTTATATGAAAGAAGTTGTTTGTTGTTAAATACTGAGCCGCAAATGGCTAAAATTTTGTTGGATGCTAACTTTAGGCCGCGTGTTAATTTCCTGAATTCTGCAGAGAAAGATTTTCAAATTCAAATTCAAATCGATATGGATTCAATTCGAGACAGGGTATGATCTAATTGAAAATAATTCTTTTGATGTATTTGCTTCCCTTGTGAAATGTTCTTGTAATAAATAGTACTTTTTTTTAAGAGCTCTCCGCATAATCTTTGAATTTATCTGTAGTCATTAATCAAGAAGATTCCGTTGTCTTTAATGACTTCTCAATTTTAAATTAATTTTTTTTTTATTATATTATTAAATCGATTATACCAATATTAAATGAATTAATCTCTATTGCATACCATATTATAAGATATCGTAAATATACAACTTCAGAAGAGCATCAATATTTTCGCCTCAATAGTTTTGGTTAGTTTGTACACTAAAAATATTTCTCCAACCAATAGACCTTCCCTTCTGGTATCAGCTTCTCCTTTGGAGGTTGCTGATCATCATGGCTACCTTCACTTTTGATAATGCTAATCTAAATAATTCAATTGACGATAGACAAAACCATTCTCGAAAATTGCGCAACCAAGAGATTCTTCGGCGCCCTACACTTCGTCTACCTACAATTTTGCCTTCCATAATGAGTTTCAGCAGCTCATATCTTGTACCGCGTGATATATGTCCCAGGAACTCTAGTTTTCGTTTTTTAATCACATTTAGATGGTGGAGAATTTTTTGGGATTGGGACAAAAGTAGACAGAAGCCAATCATGGGGAATATTACCAGTCTTACCAGTCTTAGACCTTAAATGAGACAAAAGAAGATCTACACACTTGAAATTACGACAAACTAAGGCAAATTTTGACTATTTATACAATTGAACCATATTTTCGTAAAAAATAAATCATGATCTGAAAGATCACATTCTACAAAAAAAAAATCTATAGTTGTGCATTCATTTTTTAATATGTTAAAAGACAACCCAAAACACGGCGGGTGTGTCAAAAGCTCAATTTCGCTCGGCATCTCAGGTTAAGAGGGCTATGAAACTTTTGTAAGCAGTTTCATAAAAAAAGTTGGCCAGTGCTCACTGTCGTCAAAATCGCAACTTTTTTAAAAATAAACGAGAACCTCTGGATCAAGTTGTGGTAATCATATCATCAGTCATTCTATGCTTTGGCTCTATTGCGGATGATCTTTGATAAACATCTTTTAAGTAAGTTCATAACAAATCTGTGGAGGTCATAACGGGAGGGGCATCTAATCGGGTCTCAATTTCCAATCCAACTATATGTCCAAGTATTCTGTGTGTTCATTATGCAGTGGAGGGTCATCTTGTTACCACATCATTAAATACTAAACTGTATATATGCTCAAAAAAATGTAGTAATTACATTTTGGAAAATATCTAAATATCGTTCTGAAACCAACAATAATTATCACAAACACTTAGTGTTAAAAATATACCAACGCCTTTTTTAGGTAGTTGATTTTGGTATTAAAAAAAAGAAAAAAAAAAAGAGGTGCCAATTTATAAAAATAGGGGAATTGGGAAGAGCAAGAAAAAACGATTTATAAAAAACTTTTATTATAAAAATCGAATCTCTCATTCAATTCATTTCTATGTACAATATACCGGATGGAAATCCAAACGGAAAATGTGTGCGTTCTTATAGGCTAAATTGCATAACAGACAAATTCTCATTAGAAACAAAACAATTCCAAATTAATATAGAAGTATAATTTGCACCCTTTGAACTGCGGCGTTTTGAAGCACCTATAGATACAAAGCTATTTGTCGATTTCTTTACAGACAATCAAAAAAATCTGGGAAGCAATATGCACACCTAACTTCAAATCTCATCACATTCTTAACTTCATCTTGTAATGAAATAAAACAAATAAAATAGAGTGCGACAAGAAATTCTACGTCGACTACTTAAATACTATATTCTAATATTCTCCGGAGGCTAGTTTGGCTACGATCGCGTAGATGGCGCTGTAACTACCGGCCGAGAGTCCGACGACGCCAACCAAGATGAGCAACACATCTTTCCATAATATCCATCGTCCAGGACCCAGTTTGTCAGGCCAGTAGGCGCACATCTCTATGATGGCCGGAAAGGCGATTCCCAGCGCAGACAGGCAGAAAGATCCCACCAGCGAGATGAAGAGGCCCAGCAATGGCACAGTCATCGCTAGAACAACTACAAAATCATTTTTATTATGCTTTTGGAAAAACAGCAGAACAAGTCATACAAAACCTTTGGATATTAAGTTACTAAAGAAAACATCTACAGTATTCGCGCTGAAGTCTTAGTAAGTAGAATGAAACACACATTCATGATCAATTTTTTACTTACATGTGATGACAACGCAGATAATTCTTAGCAGATATTCGTAGAACATTTTTTTCTTGTCGCTAGCGCCGTCCAGTCTCTTGGAAATGTACGTGGTCCACATTATTTGCACGGGAACGTATCCCTGGAGCCCGTAGGATATGTAAATGGCGATCGAATACGATATCACGATCGTCTGGGCCAACCTAGATCCGGTACAAGATTAGTTTGGAGGGTCAACTTCGTATTCATCCCGATTTCGCGCTTACGCTTCCTTCAAAGGAAAATTGATGGTGATACTCGATTCGATCAGCTCGCCGTACTTCCAGTAGCCCATCATTCCCATTCCGACGTAAATGACCGTGACCGCTCCCATGCCGATGTTGAGCACCCCGCAAGCTCCGCGGAATTTTTTCGGCGTCGCCATGTTGTTTTCCAGAGCGATCACCTACGACGTAATCAAAGCGTATGCCCCAGATTGAAGAAGTATATTACCGGTATTTCATTTAATGTTATAATAGGGATATCGTCAGTTTCGCATTAAATCTATCAACGATTAAAATTGATCGACTTGCGACGGAGTCAAAACAGGAATGATCTGGTCACATTTGAAAGAATGCCGCCGATATGGATTTAGTAAGACAAATTGTATTTAGAGTGAGACCGGTTAATTTGATTTTATCATTTAGGATAATGTATATACAAATAATAAAAATTAACAAAAAAATTGCTATTGATTTTGTTGCTATATGAATGTAAAAAGAAAATCTAAAATTTTTCCCTTTTTCAAGAAATTAAAAGAAATAGGTTACGATGGTTAGTTGGATAAATATTGAAATTTTTTTGGAGTAATCCTCGTGACAAAATACATACTGATATTTTTGATATTTTTGTTATGGTTTTTTTTCGAAGATTTTTAAAGGGGATAGATTATTGCAAATTATATTTTTAACAAATATTTAAAGAAAGTATTGTTTCAGAAAAAATTATATCGGTAAACATAGTAATCGGACAACGAAAACATCCCATTTTTTCTACTCTCTTATACCCAAGTATACTCCGATCTAGCATGCAGAAAGTGTCATTTTACCGCGTCCATTTCATCCGGTAGCAATCAGATGTTGAATATGTTCGTGTTGTTTGGCAACAATGTACCCAAAAATTAATACCTAGTATTAGAAAAAGTATAGTATGCAACATGTTTGGTAAACTTTTTAAGTCACTTGTGATTCAAATGCCGTTTACCATACTTGCTGCAAAATATACACGAAAAATACAAGAATCCTCCTTACTAGAGGTCAATTTCAGCGCATCAGCTTTGTACATGCCTATAACGACAAACTAACCTCAGTATTATATAATGGGGACCTGCCGACAATTTGCTTTTGGCGATTGTTGTTTTGTGTGCTGGTCAATTTCGTGTTTAGTTACTAAATATTATACGGCGAATACCCACCACTCCCACCGCTTGCAACGAGAACAGCGTTGTCCCGAAATATAACGGGTAATCGGTTATAGAACCGACAGCAGGTCTATCGCTGAAACTCTCCAGATCCTGGAAAATGTAGTAGCATACCACTGCGAAGGTGATCAACGTGATGACGTTGGCCAGAATGGAGAAGGGCGCCAGCAGCTTTAAATTCCTTATGCATATAATCAACACGAAGGGTATAAATATCACCAGCATGTAATAGATCAAGCTGACTGAGTTGGGGGCGGTGTACAGATCGCCGACTTTTTTTATGTTGACGCCCACGAAGACGACGTAGACGCAGCAGATGCCCATTTGGTAGAATATAAGGAAGAAATTGGTGAGGGCCCTAAAAAATAGGTGTGTTGGGGTGTTCTGTGCATTTTACAAAAGACATTTACGATCAACAAAATCTCACAATGTGTACCAATTAGTGGAAAATGGTCTTTGCACTCACGTCAATCATAAGAATCTTATTGAAAGGACCGCTACATCTGATGAAATATCGAAGGGATTAGAACTGGTTATTCCTTTTTTTGATAATTGATCTACCATGAATCAACGTAGTTTGATACACGAGACAAATGAACATTTTCATCTTTCGTCACAGACAGAATGCGGTAAAACGGTGAAAATCCTAAAAGTCTTTCTAAAACACACAAAACGGCTCATCGCTCATTTGAGACAGGCATCTGCGCATTTGTACGCAGATGATATTCAGTTTTACTTTTAATATGCAAAGTACTATTTATTGTTCGTACGTTTCCGAAGAAGGAATCAATACCAGAATCCTTTACACATCGATCTCAACAGAGTTCGCGAATATTAAATTGTTTCCAGAAATCTTTAATTCTTGATTGATATTGATCTGAGGTTATGCGATAGTCTAGTATTATCTCTGTTTAATTTTCGATCAGAAAGTATGATCGCGAATGAGGAAAATAGGGAACTTGAACATTTTTTTTATTTCTTTAATACATTTGTTTATGTATAGAAATAACGTATACCAAATATCAAAACTAAACCGCGCGGGAATGATTGTGACGTCATACCGCTGCTTTTCGATAGATACGGCGACATGTTATAGTGTTATTTTGAGGTAATAGCGGTGAATTATATTATTTACGTTTATTTTTGGTTCGTGTAAAGTATGTTTGTATTTAATCTACGACAGTTTGTATTTGTGCTTAGTGTGCTTTACATGATAATAATGGGAGCGCCACGAAAAACAATATAACAAATCGGCCATAGCGTTTGAGTACAAACCGCAAAACGCCAGATATACTTTTTATTTTTTATAAAAGCCGTCGTTTTTTGTTAACATTATGCTCAGGTGTCACTTTAGCCTTAAACGTGCAAACATTTTTAACTCTTCAAACTAGCAACCATTGCAGTCTCCATAGGAATGACTTCCTGATCTATATAAAATAAAGAACACCTTAAGCTATCAATGCTAATATACTTTTAGTTTATTTAGTTTAGTTTAAAAAAAATCGTTTTTTTTGTTGTTTAATAATTTACATTATATTTGATATACCATTTGAATTTTAAAAACTACAAAATTTTATAATATAAATATTATTTTAGTTTAAACCTAGTGGTTAAATTTTCTATTAACATACGTTTTAGCATTAACACCGCGAACCTGAGCAAAAGAAGCACTTTCGGTGTTTTGTATGTAAGATGTCACCATAAACATATCCACTAAAAGTAAATCATTAGATTGAACTTTTAAAAAATCGGCTTCAGTTATTTTCACAGCTTTCTTTTTGATACTAAACACAAGATAACAAAAGCAAACGACAGGATCATGACTAAAATTAAAATTAAAACCACCAAGACGAACGCGTTGTCGTCCGTTATTTTTTTTTGTGAACTGTCGTTCTTTTAATAGTATAAACTTACTTTTATATTTTTCGTATTAAAATTTTGTTCCACTTCCCTATTGGATGGTTCAACATGGTGACACTATTTATAAAAATGAATATCCATTTGAAAAAAAAAATTAGATATGATGCTCATAATTTTGAAATGACGCCCGCGAAATCATTATTAATAACAAACTTCTCAGATCTACTGTAATTTAGTTACTTACGGCGCGTATGGGGCGAATCCTCTGAGCCACTGGGGCCCGATCTCGCACGCCACCTTCATCGACTCCGGGTAAGTGAGAAGAGCGACCTTGAGCCTTTTGCACATGACGTATTGAGCGCGTACCTGAAATCGGCGAGTTTCAACTGGCCACCAAAATGATTAAGGTTTTGCTCACGAGGACGTGAAGGCAGTAGGTGCACAAGGCGCCGATCAGAAACGTGGAAATGATCCCGTTGATCATTCCGGATAGTTTGAAAGCCTCCGGCATGGCGAGAATACCCGTGCCCAAACATCCTTTGAGCAAGTGGATCAGGGTTTCCGCATTGCTAGAAATGAGTTGTTAACAAATAAACACCTGTTCAGTAGGCGTCTATTTTTGATCGAACATTCGAAAAGTTCGCAGCAAGCATTTTACGTAAGCGGCTTTATTTTTGAATCGGCGATCGATTATGCAGTTTGAGATAGGTCGAGGTCAATTTCGGGGAGGATACGGTGCCAACAAATTATAGTCCAAGAAGCATTGGGTCTTTGTTACTTATGGTCAGCATGGTGTTTGGTATGATTTGGTGTAATGTTAAAAAGTAGTTAAAAAAGATTTACAGAAAAATTTTAATGATGTTAAAAGCGGTGTCTTGTATCCAGAGCGTTGCACGATAAAATGCTGATAAAGCTTTTCTGAGTTCTTTTTTCTTATGTTTATTTAAAGAAAAAGCAGGAGCCGATAGCTAACCATCAATAAATGATGGATTTTACCAATGCGTATGCTCGTAAATTCAGGATATATGGATTTCGTGAATAAGCCGCGGGCTTTTGCTAATTTGATTATTTGTATATGAATTTGTCAAATAAAAACGGTTTAGAAGAATAATTAATATTCCCATATTAATTAATTATAGATTAACTACCCGGTCTTGCCTTATAATTATCTAACCAATGCTAACATTGCCTTCAAGCTTCCAGTTAAAAGAGGATTGAACAATAATCGATCATATTTTGGCATTTATATAAAAATTACAACAGGCAAATCGGAAAATTTTCTACAATTTAGTATATTTTGTAATTTATGAAATGTTATGAAACTGATTAAAACTATTATTCTTATCGCCTCATTATTTTAGTCAAATAAAATGTGTTCCCACTCTACAAACACCCTATATCTCAGCCAATCAAAATAAAAACCGACAAGTTTGTTTGCTCTGAACGAAAAGTCCCTGCACGGTTCCAGAATCTGTTGAATGAGTTGAAATTTAATACGATTCTTCCGCGAATATAGAAGTTTCATTAAAGAGTAGTAATTTTCTATAACGCTAATGCGCATGCGGTAGTATTTCGAATACATTGGGACGCCGCTACTAGTAAACAGCTAATATTTTCCAAAAATATCTAATCATCTAGTTGGCCAAAAATTGAAATATCTAAACAAAAAAAACTCCTAAGTATGGTTGAATGGAGCTGTACTCACGTAGTTGGGTTTTCGATTTCCCGATGTAGATGCGGATCGTAATCATCTCCGGTCTGATTTTTGTCGCCGTTGGGCCTGAAATTTGCAAAACGTTCAAAAGCCGAATAATGTTATTGCGATACGCAAGCGCGTAACCCACCACCGCTACGTTTTTGCGAAACGTTTCTTTGTGTCAAAACTGTACCTTTCGGGCGGTGCAGCAGCTACCATTGCGTCAAAAAAACCGTTCAAACTACAGCAAATCTTTCAAGTGCGAATGGTATAATCGTACGTGTCTTTTTGACCCGGATTGCGCGGAACATCCGCTAACTAGTAACTAGTTTCATTTCTTTAGCAACCTGTTCCAGTGTTGACCAAAGCAATTTTAACCGTGAAAATAGATAATTGCCAACAATATCGCGGAACTTATATACGTCTAGAAGCAGCTACAAGGGACCAAAAATTAAATTGACAGTGACAGTGCGACAATACAATACAATAATAACCTCACGTTTTGGTACTTCTGAAAGTTCACGTTGTGTGAGCAAACGTGTGTGTGTGTGTGTGTGTGTGTGTGTGTCGCAAAAGATTCTCCGCCCCCTTACCTCGAAAGATATTCGATTTCCGAAAAAAGGTTTAATACAGAAGACAGGAGAGTAAATTATTGTTGATATGGATCTCTCATAAAAATTAAATGTCATTTTCCGAAAGATATATTGTGCGAGGCATTATTACTATCTCATTTCAATTATGCAAACTTTATCTATGGTCCATGCTTTCGCCAGTTAAAACAATATAGCATTAAAAAGGTGCACAATAGTTGTGGCTATATATTTAATTTAAGAATCACAATGGGCGAACATGTTATAGCCAAGGACATATGGAAGTGTTCACACCTTGCACATTGTTTAGAATAAAGCTTTTTTCTTACTTTAGAAAGTCTTAAAAATAAATTTCAGCTGTACTGCGGTATGTCTACATTATAGGGCAAAGCAATAAATTAAATACCTAAGCACAGAAGGGCTGCATATAAAAAAAATCTCACTTATAACAGCATTCAACGATATAATTCTCGTGCTATGAATTACTAAATCACAATGTCGAAAAATTCAACGGTCTTTTTAAAAATCATTTATTTGAGATGCAGATGGTTATGACTTATTGTGCTAGTAGTTTTAAGGAGGAACTATTAGATATTTTCTTTTATTAGTTAGATAAGTTACATAACTTTTTGAAGCACATAATTTAAGTTTATTTGCGCATATACAGGGTGGTTCAGTTTTTTTTGCACAGCATTAGCAGTTGATAAAACTATTAAAATTAGCACATAGTTAGCAAGATAAAGGGCGTTAAAAGTGCGCATAAAAATTTCCGTTTTTGCGCATTATATCTTAATGGTTCAACATAAAGGTACAAACTTAGATATTTTGGTTTTTTGAGGGAGGAGAATTTAAATTCGTTGTTAGTTTTTATATTGCTCATGGAAGGAGCTGCCGACTCGGACACCTCCACATTAATGAATAGAAATTTTTTACCCCTCGAAATGCGGTTTCCGTTCTTAAAATTTCTGCTGCCGGAAACTCTTCTTAATAAAAATTAAGTGGTTTTGCGAGAAGATCGAACTTGAACAAGTGTTGTTGAGTGTTCGAAGTGTTTTCGGAGCGCGAGCATTGAAGATGCCAAGTGAGATTTTGGCGAAACGTCTGCAGGATTCCAGTCGGAGTTCAACAAGCGAACGGTTGATATCTCGGAATATAGTATCATCACATTTTTCCATCCGTGAATCAATACGTGAATATATATATATATATATATATATATATATATATATATATATATATATATATATATATATATATATATATATATGTATATATATGTACATATATATATATTTTCAAGTATTGATTCACGGATGGAAAAATGTGATGAAGTGTTTTCGGAGCGCGAGCATTGAAGATGCGAAGTGAGATTTTGGCGAAACGTCTGCAGGATTTCTTGTACACATTGCTGTTTGCAATGGTTTTTTTTTTTTTGCAAAAAAACATAATTTTGTCATACTGCGATTGTTATTTTATACGGTGATTCGTTTAATTGCTAAAAAAATAGTGTCAGTCGAAGAAAAACTATACGTGTAAGTCATATACTAAAAAAGTAATTTTAAAAATAAAAACACTTATTGCTTTCTTTCGAGATGAGGGGAGATTTTGTGCGACACCCTGTACAAAGCATATTAATTATATGGCTATGGTTCCGTCTAGCTGTTTCGATTATTACAAGTGCTTTATGAAAAATCTCCTGTTAGGGTTTTTTGAAGGCTCTAAATATAAAAATATCTGGTTTCCAAAAAACCTTTTCTCATAATTTTACTTTTTAGATTTATGCCGCAGTTGCATTCAATTCATTGTTATACCGGATGTCAAATTTGAAATTTCCGTCAGAAGGTACAACGTTGTATATTTTTTTTATAGTATTATATATTATTGCCTTTTCAACGATATATCGCTACTTGAATATTTCCATTGAAAATCATAATCAAGTTACTTGATTATCTGGTTAACATCCAAGAAAACAAAAGGATATCATTTGTTTTCTGCGGCATATGCAAACATCGCATTTTACTGATTTTCCCATTTTGGATTTCAATTTTGAATGCAAATGTCAAGTTGTTGAAATACATATTTTTCGACATAACCAAGTGACGCCTGGGTCGATAATCTCGCACTCTAGTCATCTCTTAATATGAAACAGTTATGCGGAACGTTCACGACTAAGACAAATTTCCACCACCACACGCTATGCATTAATTAAAAAACTAAATAACTTTTACCGCTTGTCCAACAGCTCCGAAACTTCAGTTGCGTTTCTGAAAAACGAGTCTAGCGTGAGCGTGAGTGTGAAACAGACAACATTTTGGGTTGCAGTCGGATATAAATTTATATTTTATGCTTGATCTATTTTTTTTTCAAAATCGTCTTAAATCTTAACTTAAATTCAAACAGATGAAAAATATTAGACTAATCTTACTTGTTCGCCCCCACGGGTTCCAAATTCAAAATTTCCTGAGTCATTGCAGCTATCTGGTGGAGCCAATCGACATTAAAAACATAACCAGGACGGAAGCAATTCTTGAGGCGGCATGCAGATCCTCTCAGAAGCTATCTGCAATATATACATTCAATTTGTTATCATTTAAATGTCCCGTTCGTTTGACCTATAATGTGTCCAAAACGTTCGCATTTGGTAAAACGACTCTCGAATTTGGAACGCGGAAAATACTGGCCAGGAGACCCTCGATTTTGGCAGCGTTCCAGCAAAAATATCAGAGTACTTCATATTATTAAATATTAATTAATCAGTCTAATGGATTCGGGAAGAGATCGGAGATTTTGATAAATTATATTGTTGAATGTTCGGGTGCTGCCCACACCCCCTCTCCTATATTTATTCATTTGCTAATTTTTATAATTTACTAATAATAGACTAAATATAATATTGCCCAAATAATATGGTTCGAACGTAAATTGTCGTTCGTGGGGGATGTAGCTCAGTGGTAGAGCGTTCGCTTTGCATGTGAAAGGCCCCGGGTTCGATCCCCGGTATCTCCAATTTTTTTAATTTATTTTATTCAACACAGCGAAGAATAATTTAAAATGTTATACAGTTGGTAAACATTAGTATTAATTACCAAATATCAATTAATGTTAATTGAATAATGAGTAGTTATGTAACGTGTTCTACAAGGGGCGTATAACTGGGTTGTTAGGTGCTTCCTGTCTTCCAATGCACATTTTTTGCCGTTCGTCGATAGTCGCAGCAAAATTGCAAACTATAATATCGATTGCTTATTTAAAATACGTCAGCTATTACCACTAACCATCGACCCTTCGCTTTTCCTCTGGTGCCTAAACGAGCACAATTGGACAAACACTTCTATTTCATAATTCGCCAGCAACGACTATGATACCAATTTAAAACCCGCACTTCACGTCCTAACCTCACTCTATAACATCCGCACCGAGAGGCGCTATTCGCGCTGCCTTTCCAGCCGAACTGAAATTGAAATGAGCGAGAGTCCCTAAAACGTTGCCAGGCAGTGTCGATACGAACACGCCGAGATTTTGCCGTTTGGCAATACAAGGGTCGATCGGAAACATTCATATTATATTATATATTATATACAACACTAATAAGGGACACACATAAAAATAAGGATAATTTTACGTATTTGTTTTATTCACAGTCTAATGAATTTATACAAAAGAATTTAAAAAATGGTATTTTAACATACAAGTGTATATTTACAAAACGCATATAATGCATGCAAAACCACTCCATGCATATTTTCAAATTTGCACTAAAATGAAACGTTACTTTGCAAAAATTTATGTGGTTCATGTGGCTATGATATTTTCGTAGAAAACAGCGATATCCACACTTAACTCGTTTTTGTCTGAAGATTTAATACGATCTGGACATATTTTAAGAAAATACTGTGGTAAAATGTCGCATCCAAACTTAATGACGCTAAAAACGAGGTTTTAAATCTCGCAATGCGCATGTTATGTTCAGTAAGGCAGACAATATGTTTTTGTAAAGTTCTATTATTATTAAATAAGTTCTATTATTTAGTTTTAATTCCGTAGTTTTTATTGTTTCAATTGTATCGATTGTGATGAGAATCAGATGTTCTTTTTAATAGCAGTTTGTGTGATATAGCAAAAAACCATCAACAAGTAACGCGTTTTCAATTGTTAGAAAATATTATAACACGCACAAACACGTATATAAAATAAAACGGACTTTTAACACTCTTACATTTTAAAATTTTCTATGAAAAATGTTGAATGTAGAGTATCAGGCAAGATGTAATCTTGCACATACTTTTGTGGCATATTGGTGAATAATGATCTAGTACGTAATTGTACATTTTTTTTATCAATTTTCATTTTAATCGTGAGTTTGTTTTCTTCAGTTTCTTGAGTGCATAATTAAAAATTACGATTCAATTAAGTTTTGTACTTCAAGTCTATATTTCTTTATCTTTTGCCATAGACACGACGTACATGCATTTTTCATAAATTCTGTTAAAAATGCAGGGGATCAATTTTTTTGAGAAAAATATGTTTGAGTATTTTGGTAAATTTTTGGATTTTCACAGATTTTTTTAAGCACTTTTTGACACTTTATAAATGTAGTTTTTAGTGTTCAGTCGCTTTAATTAGTTTAGTGTGTATAACAAGGTGGATTTCAGCAGTGTACTCTAAATTAAATTTTTATGAGAAATTACGCATAACATTAAAAAGAAACGGAGAGGGCTTATAATGATATAATAATATATGAGTATATTATGAAACCATATGAAACAAACAACCTCGTTTTCAACCTAGTTCCGAAACTTTAATTTGCAGACACTTTTTTGACATCTGATGTGTGACAGATCTCTACACACCTTTGATGTTGGTTTGTTATGGTAATCCAAAAACGAATAAACGAATAAAATCCTGTCAAACTAGCACGTGTTCAAAAACAACCACGATATCGTACTTTGTACCGTGCAGCAGTAAAATATTTGGCATTAATTGCATATTTGTTCCAAAATTGTGGTAAATACCAGTAATCTGGCCTGGACTTTGATCCCGAGTAGCCTTTTGCCAAATAACAACATCTCGTCGTTTAGAAACCGATTTATTTTCGTTTCTATTTGATTAAATAAGCGGCCATAACTATTCCCGGCAAGGCAATTGTTTATATACCGTTATGTGTGTCAATTTGTCTCCTTAATTTCCTGTATTGCACCATTTACGCGCGCCGTTTACGTCGGACAATAGGCTCAGTTATTTAAAGCGAATGTACCGGGCGACTCACACAAATTTTTATTTATTTTCTAGGTATATTATTATATATTTTATTCATATTATTATTTATATTATTTTAAATGATACACGAAGATGTAAATAGATCAAGCATGCAAAGCACAACGGTGCTGATACCTGTGGAAGACATATCTGATTGCTGGGAACTACAATGTGATAGTCTGCGAAAAATAACATTCATTTTAGTTATAGCCTGAAAAATGTAGTTCTTGTAAATCGTTCAGTAAATCTGTGCTTTTTTTATACAACCCACTTGTCAGATCAAAATTAGATGGATATAAATACATACAATCATAGTTTATTGGTTAGGTAGATATAAATGGACATAATTATAGATGAATAACTGATTTTTCAAAGAAACTTCCACAGGCTACTGCAATACTTTTTACAAAACTTCTGGATTCCTACAGCGTCGGTTTTTGCTGAGTCGAACTTGCTGAAGTTTCGCCAATCATCCATTCTGCAGAGTTTGACTGAAACTGGCTCATATTTTATTCTGTACCAGCTTATATATTGTTTGAGGGGGCGTAGCTAAAGGAGTGGCATAAACACCGTCTCGGATGACGATTCCCATACTGGTGGAGTCGCGGTTAAGATTGTTATAGACTCTCCGATTTTTCGTTGGTAGAAGAACTGATTGCATGCAATAATTTTAGTTTTATCGAATAAAATTTTATATCCGGTTTCATGAGTGTGTTCGGCAACAGCTGATGAGTTTATTTGTTTTAGTCGTAAGGCTCTTTCGTGTTCGTTGAGTGTAGTTGATACTTTTCGTCCCGACTCTCCAATGTATTCCTTGCCGAATATGCATGGAATGCTGTCAACTTCTGGCATCTCAAATGGAATTTTGTCTTTGACGGACCGAAGATGTTGAGAAATTTTTGGACAAGTGGTAAATCTGGTTTTAACGTTATACTTCTTTAGAACTGTTGATATGTGGTCAGTGATGTTTTGAATGTAAGGAAGGACCACACTGGCAAGTGTAGGATTGCTTTCGGTCTCATTGTTATTGGAAGGTTGTGGTGAAGTGTATTTTTTGATGGAACGCTTAATATCTTTAATGTGGAAATTATTAGAGAGAAGAGCAAAGGTAAGGTGTTTTAATTCTGGGTTCAGTGACTCGGGCTGAGATAGTTTTATGGCTCTGTAAACAAGAGAATTGATAACCGATAATTTTTGGGCCGGATGGTGATGTGACCATGCATTAAGATATCGGTCTGTGTGCGTAGGTTTCCTGTAAACACAATGACCGAATGTTAGGTCTGATATTCTATTTATAAGAATATCTAATAATGGAAGTTATTAGTTTTCAACTCAATGGTAAAACGTATGTTAGGGTGTATAGAGTTTAAATGTCTAAGAAAATCTAGTAGGCTTTCTTAACCATGAGGCCAAATAACAAAAGTATCATCGACGTAGCGTTTCCATAATTTTGGTTTTATATGAAAGGTGCTCTCGACATCTTTAATCTAAAATCTAAAATCTGATCTAAAAAATATTAGCAAAGAAATAGAAAATTCAGACGATGGTTAACGCCCGCAAATATGTCAAATTCATGTCGAAATTCAGGTTTTTCGTCATTAATTTAGGAGGCTTGTGCTTTTTATCACTGTAACATCAGTAGTAGCAAATTTGTCGTCAAAGGCTTTTGTTGCAACAAACATGCAACAAAATCTTGAAAATTCCACCAATACAAGGCAAGATCGTCTATACAGCGACTCCAATAACCAATAGACGAAGTGCTAGGCCTGCCTGTAGACAGCACTGACCCAGTACGGCGCCAGTTAAGTTTTTGGCCTATGCAGGACCTCGCATCACGTTTGGCTTCTTCCATTGTATACGGACCAAAACATACTTCTTCGTCGGAAGACAAATCCCACATTTTCAATATAATTTTGAATTTTCCAGCAGTTTCAAAAATTATCGGTCGATATTTCCTCTTCTTCTTTACAGCACATTAAACAAGTTTACTAGAATCATTTGCTCATGGCCCTGATTTCAAATTAGAAATTTTGTTATAATAATAATAATAATAATGCGTTAGCACCTTCATATTCATCTCAATCATCAATCTCTCTCCCGGAGTGGATAAACAGAACATAAGAGCTCGTATGTTTTAGTATGTCAAGACGATGAACTGGACAACATACTTTCAAGTACAATTAAAAAAGCACTGTATAAGAATGGAAAGAAAATTGTATTCTGCAATTTAAACTTAGTTTAGTATCTGAGACTAGTATCCTTGGCAATAAGACACAAAAATTACAGTAAATTACATACCTTCAGCATTGTTATAACCCACAAGAATTTTTTCCGTGTAGTAGGCAATTTTATTAGTTTGTGCTGCCTATACTGTGCTACTATATAAGACGCATATCAGTTCGGGCTATCGCTGCTCAGGAAGTGCAGCTTGAAAAGTAAATACCTACATAGAATATATATGACTATGAGGCATAAAATATAGTTGACAATATGCATGGTAGATAAGTAAGAAAAAAAACTAAGTGGCGTCCATAGGGAGAACATCGTCATTGTTATACTTTTTAAACTGGTGGTAATGGCAGAAAACACATCTGAAGAGTGTTAACTATCAAAAAAGGTCCCATAACCATGGGATCGATTATAATAACTGTTCGCCAAGAAGCAACAGGTATTAGTCCAATGAATGCGTTGGCAAAGATGGTGTATTGTAGGCACATGTAATTCGATGAAACATGCGGTTGATTTTGTTCGCTTTGTATCAAATGAATCGATTTTATTCGTGAACTCGAATGAGTTTGTGTTGGCCAACAACCAGATAAATAATCAACCGAAATTTGGTTCGGAGTTTAGTGCGGTACTTTTTACTCACTTTGTTGACAAAGCCGTCTGCGTCGCATCGCGTCGTGCCAAAGTTAAAGGAATGTCGCGTGTTGCACACGTCAGAAGCGCATAACAAAAAAATTACTCGCTAATAAACAAAACTTTCGTAATAGGCGCAATGGTCAACGCGACATAAAGGGATCAAAGTATTATATTTATAAAATAAACGTTTCTCATTGGTCGACACGGGTGGCGTTTCCGTTACGTCAGCAGAAAATTACGCGCCGATCGACCGAATAAATAGCAAAATTGTTTTGGCGCCTGAAGCCACACCCCCGACAACAAAAATAGACAGGACATTTACATCCGCTTGTTTACTTTGTCTGAAACAATCGTAGATTATATTTATAGCGCAGAGGCAGAGAAGGTACCGAAAATTGTTAACTAGTTTTCATCAGTGAGCGCAATTTTTACATATACTGTCACTTAGTAAACATTTGAAATGAGGACATCTTTTTTTTGTCTTTTTACGTTTGGGATGTTAGATGTTTCAGTAAATCTCTTTCCGATTTTAGTTATGGCGCTTAATTAATAAAATTATTTTGCAATCGTCCAAACTTCTTGTAATTTATTGGTTCATGGTTCAATGTTCTATAATCGGACTACATTGTCCAAGAAAAATAAACAAATTCTTCTTTTATGTCGGAATGCTTAATATTTAAGTATAGGAACATGATATGCTATTTGAAAATGATATAAGTTGTTTTTCAGAGTAATTGATATAATATAGGGCGTCCAACTGCCATAATCGCACATTTTGAACTCCCCTGTATAATACAGAGTGAACCTGTATACATAAAACTATCGCATAAGACCTTTATGAATTACAGGCAAAATTTGAGCTTAATTGGATATATTTTCAACAAAAAAAAATCTCGTAAACCGCTAGATTGATGGCGGAACGGAACGTCCAATAATATACAGGATGTTCTACTATAAATATCAAAGTTGATGCTGCTTTTTCGAAAAAGCGGGAACGTCACACTGTTAGATTGGTAGATCGTCCTCGCCTCGTCCATCATAAATTAGCATGTCATCCACCGTGAATCACATTGTATATCATTCTATAAAATTGGATATTACGATTACCTTTAGGATTTTAAAACTTGCATTTTTTTCTTTTGTTATACTGGGGTCTCTAAACTAAATTGAAAATAATTTGAATGTTCAAGGTTCAATTGAACAATGGAAACAGAAATATCTCGACAAGGTGGTACGTTGGCAGATTTTAAGACTATCGTTTTTGCTTAGAAATATTCAGTATATTCTTTATCAAAAAAGAACTAAAAAATTACAGTGAAAAGGTGCCCGTCCAAGAGACCATTTTACAGAGCCGTTTCTTCTGAGAGAGGCATTTTCAGCCAAGTGTCAATTTAACGCCAATGTTGGCAGTGGTCAAGATGTGAAGGATCTTATAGGACTCGGAGAGCGCAATGAGCGTGGAGAACGGTTGATTGATTTTGCGATGGAGGAACAGTTTATCAATCAAGTCATCAATACCTTTTTCATACTTCCCCCAAGAAGGCTGTATAGCTGGGAATCACCTCAGGATACATACTGAGACACCAGATAGATTATGTTATGGTTAGTGATGACTGAAGAGATATTAGATGATGGAAGCAAGATGTAACGCTAAAAACCGGGATATAGCAACATACGAAAGGATAGACAAAGGAATTGAAAATGCTCTTAGAAATACAACTGTTACAACAAGAGCATCAATCCACAAAAAGGTCAAAGAGGCGGCAGGCCTATATAAGCCTAAACAAATTGGATGCCTGATGGATACCCGAGGATACTTAATAAGAGAAGTAGAACAAGGAAAGGACGCTTGAATGAAATATGTGGAGGAAACACAAGTAACACAGAATATATAACTGGGCCTTTGATTACAACGGACGAGGCAGGAACTGCTATAAGAGGGAACAAACATGGTAAAACAACAGGGCCTGATAACCTTTACTCAGAATTTTTAAAGTTAATGAACGACAGCGGAATAAAATGGCTAACAAACATATTTAATAGTATTTATAATATTGGGAAAATTTCCCAGAGCTGGTTAAAATCGACATTTGTGTTACCGAAGAAACCAAATGCAAAATAGTGTGATGAGTATAGAACTAAAAGCCTACTTAAGACTTTCCAAAAAACCATCGGCAAACGAGTATATGAAAAATGCGAATAACAAATAACAAGTACTCAATTTGTGTTTCGTAATGCTCTGGGTAAACAACAGGCACTTTTTGCTATCCAGGTCTTGTTCCAGAGGTGCAGGAACGTCAATGTATATGTATGCTTTGTAGACTACCAGAAGGCGTTCTATAGAGTTAGATATGCCGAACTTATATCGCTGCTCAAAGAGATTGGCATAGATGATAAAGATCTGCGAATCATCAAAAATATTTACTATAAACAAGGTGCTAACCTAAGAGTAGACAACCAGTTGACAGAAGCAATTTCAATAGAGCGTGGAGCGAGCAATGCTGTTTAATGTTTACTCCGAACATATCTTCAAACAAGCTTTGGAGCTTTGATGACACGTATAACTGAAGTTAACCAACAGCACAGACATAAACACAAAGAAGACAAAATATATGGTCATTAGCAAACATCCATTCTTAAATACTCAGCTGATGACCAACCAACAGCCAATTGAAAGAGTCGAAAGCTACACATATCTTGGAAATAAGACAACGTATACCAAAAGATGAGCACCGTCTTTAAAAGCCATAACTTGCCGCTGAAAACCAAAACCATCTTCGTACTACAGTGCTATACTTCTTCAGTTCTATTATGCGGAGCGGAGGCTTGGAGCTCTCGACGGTTGCTATGAAAAAACTGGAAGCGTTCGAGATGTGGTGTTACAGACGCATCCCTAGAATCCCTTGTGTCGACCGAGTCACAAAAACTGAAGTCATAAAAAGTGAATTGGAATACCTAGACCATACTATGAGGAACGAACAACAATATAGCCTCCTCCAATTAATTCTACGCGGGAAAGTGTATGGCAAGAGGGGACCAGGACGAAGACGAATCTCGTGGCTTCAAAACCAAAGAAAATGGTTTAAAATGACCACGACTGGACACATAACATTCGGAACGAATAGGCACCGCAAAAAGAAGTCCATTAACTAAGCTGAAATGGAAATGGAATTAAATTGAGACATGGTAAATGAGACCGGATTTCTACTCGGTAAAAAGTTTATTTGGTGGGTAGTTGGAATTTTTACAAACGTTAACACGATACAAAATAATTTACCTAAAATCATCATATAAGTTAAAACATAACAATAAAACGATGTCAACAACGGCTAAATAATCTAACAACTATTATTAACGATAATTCTTAGGAACCTGCGCGATAAGTCAAATAAGTCATTAAAAAAAAAAACAACAAAGGCTTCCAGCTGAGATTATTGTTTATTTGCCGCCTCGTATTTTTTATCGTCTCTCAGATAATAGCAAAATAAATATATTTCGGGTCGCTCCCGTCCCTTAACTTATTGTCGACGTCTTGCTCTTTTCCCTCTCACAGCGATCAATCACAATAAACGAAGGAAGATTCTAAATCTATTATCACACTTTTGCGTCGGGTTAATTTTGAAAATCACGTGGTGGAGTTGGTGGCCGGATCGAATTTCTCAATGATTTTCTCTAGACTGGTCCCGGTACCGACCACTAGGCCGAAGAAACCGAATAAAACTATAACTATGTTCTTCGCGTGTACCAGGACCATCTTGGTGCCGTGCAGACTGTACCATCTCACGCAAGAGTCCATTATGGCGGGAAACGCGACCCCTAGTGCGGACAAACAGAGGGCTCCCACCAACGATATGAATAAGTCGATGTATGGGACCGCCACAGCCAAACAAACTGAAACAAATCCGCCTATCAGATTCAGTAATGGATGAAAAAAATGAATGAGTAAAATCCCAAATTTTGTTCAACGTATCTTTCTCGCTTTATCGTACGTATTTTGCTATACTAACAGTTTTTTTTGGTTACTGTCTACTCGATCAATTTGCCAAGCTGACTACATTTTCTGTGTCATGACATTTCACTAGAAATATATCGCGGTAGTCTAACTGTATTTTGCATTTTGAAAAAAGTAATGGCGATTGTGTCACGGGTGAGTTTTTTGTGCTTTTCCATAAACAGTAAAAGCCAAGAAGAATTCTGAAGTTATATAATAGAAGTAGCTTACCTCGGCTGTTGTTGTTGAGATAAAAGATAAAAGTCTTTACATTAAGTTTAAAGTGATGTGTTCATATATCTGTAATACATTTATTATAACTAAATGAATTTTTTTCAAAAAAATTAAAACATGTTAAATAAAATATCACGTTTTCAGTAATACCTTTTGTACATCCGTAATTTTTGGTTTGACAACACTTGAATCAATTCCGGGACGTGTCATCTTCTTCCGACGTTTTTTAATTGGTTTTCTTAGAGGTTTACTATTATTTACGCTCCTTGGTTGGCCAAATATTGAATTTTAAAGCAAAAAAAACACAAACATATAAAATTACAGGAAAAACAGTTAAACGACATTAGAAATTACTGTCGATGACATCACTTTAAACTTGTCTCAAAACCACTATACATATGTGCCTATAACATTTAATCGGCTAAAAAAAATCTGCTTTGAAGGATTGCGAGGGTTCGATTGTCTATTAAATTTAAACAAAGTTGCGTCTTTCAACATCAACGTCCATCCACCTCTACTTACACGTCAGTACGACAAGGCAGGTCCTGACGAAGTACTCCCAAAAGTTTTGGTGATTGTTTTTCTCTAGCTTTTTCACCAGGTACTGCGTCCAGACTATGTCGATGGCCACGTACATGGCCAAAGAGTGCGTGACGAAGATGGCGAAGGCCAACATAATCTTGCAGACGTCGGCAGCTCTGATAATTGAAAATTAGTGCTTTTTCTATCGACGAATTGCACATTCTTACATTTCGCCGGGTCCAACGGTGTACGAAATAGATCCTCCGACCTCTGCCCCGTAGGCGATGTACCCGAAGAAACCCGTGATGATGTAAAGGATCGTCACGGACGCCATTCCTATGTTCAAAACGCCAAAGGTGCTACCAAAAGATTCGGGCGATTTCATCTCGTTCTTTAACGGCATGATCTACAACAGTATCGGCTTATAGTTTCTCTATAAACTAAACGTGGACTTTGAATTTGAATGCTGAACATTTACCGCTCCTATTTTGGACGCAAAAGCAAAGCAAAAGCACTGATGTCGCTTCTTCATAAACGACGTTACTTCATAAACCTTGGAAAAATGTGTTTTGAAAACGTTATGTGTCCTTCCAAATCGAAAATGGCAAATGAGAAGTGTCTTATCAAATGTTAACCATTAAATTTGTAGACGGCGCTAGTAAACAAGGAGCGGTAAACTGATCTATTTAGTTCGCGGATTTGGTTATGTATTCCGGCGAATTCGCCAAAACTTACCACTCCGATCGCTTCCAAAGCGAACAGCACGGTCCCGAAATATAATGGATAATCTCTAAACTCGCCAAACGGGTCCCTGTTTTCGAACGTGATCTCCTGTTGGAAAATGTAGTAAAAAATGATCCCGAAGGACACTACGGTCACGCCGTTAGCCACGGTCGTCAGCGGCGCCAAAAATTTCAGATTCTTTATGTAGTTGATGAATATTAGAGGGAGAAGCATTATCAGCATGACTATCCTTTCGTCGACGGGAGTCGGAAGGTATTCGTTGCACACCTTCTGGATGTTTTCACCCACGAACACAGTATACACGCAGCAAGTTCCCAGCTGGTAGATCAGCAGGAAAGTGTTACATACGGCACTGCAAAAAATGAAAATTATTGCCCCTATTTATGGCTATAGACCAAATTTAGTTGGTTCTTCAATTAAATTTGAAGCTGAGTTAGCACAGCTATTAAGAATTTATCACTATAATGACGTTCATAAACCAGATTGCCGAAAATGCCAACCTGCTTAATATTCAAGATATAAACACTTACGGAGCATATGGGGCGAGTTTTTGAAAGAACGGTGGTCCTTCCGCCAAAGCGGCTTCGGCCGTCTTGTCGTACGTCATATTCGGTACTTTCTTCCGCTTGCACAGTTCGTACTCCGACCTCACGAGCATGTGCATGCTGTAGGTGCAAAGCAAACCTATGCAAGCGGTCGCTACGGAACCAAGCAGGTAGCCCGCGTGGTAGAAAGCCAACGGCATCGCCAAGATTCCGGTACCGAAACTTCCTTTAAGAAGGTGAATCAAAGTTTCCAAAAATCTGGAACCGAAATACAGTCTTTGATGCGTCAAGAATTTTTCCCATCCCATTTCATATTATAATTCAGCCTAAACAAAATGCATTTACAATTTACAAAAATAAAAATCTTTAATTCTCTCATTCGCTACCTGAATCGATACTTTAACAAAAAAAAGTTAGTTACAAAGTCAAGCTTTCCGGTTTGTTTGTCTTATTTTATTTACACCGTTGCTTGGCAACCACTCATCAATATTTTGCTTGTACTAAATAGTATATTTAGTCACGAAATTGATTCGTCAATTTACGATATACGAAAAATAGTGTTTGGATACATTGCAGAATAGTAGGATGCTTGAGAGTCAAGTCCCAAGTCACTGGCTTGTCATATTACACTTGTGACGTGACCGTTTGAATTGGCAAACGTCAAAGTACCAACGGAAATGTCCGAAGTAACTCGCGACTAGATGTAACGAAGCTGACGCCCCAAAGTGACACTTTCACAAGCTCAATAGGTGCACAATTGGATATATTAGAGAAGGGAGGAGAAAAAGCATATTCTAATTTATTATAAAATAAGTTGTAATGTCTTCACCTTCTTTGGTTATGAAATGAAAAATAAACGACTTTAGATGATTATCGTGTATTGTCTAATTGCAACAAATTGTAACATTTTATCTTTTTATCTTTAAACACAAATTATTATAACAATGGACATTTACCAAAATTGAAAGATTGCATCATATTCGCGATAAACTAATTTACAAAAAAATTTTAAGAACCGGTGAATTGCAAACTTGACGGCATTTTGTGCGTATCAACCGGTTAAAGGCTGATATAGATATAGATCAAAACTGATGAAATGACATTAAATGACGGAATGGAAATTTTTTGAAGCGCTCAGGTTTCTATTGCGATGGACGTTACATTTTTCTTACTTACGCCTTACACCCACGCAGCGAAAATGATTTATATTATTAGAAATTCCGATTTACATTCACGCGTAATGAATTCGCTACAATTTCACTAGTCGACTTTACATGTCGTGTAGTAGATGTTATGCTATTAAATTATATAGGACTTGCCTTACATTCTTTCATTTGTTTCCGTTCGCCAAAGACAATTTAGGGGGACGATTCAAAATAAAGAGTAGTTTATTATATAAACGTTGGGTAAAAAAATTACTATAGAGATAACGCTCTGCAAATATAACTGAAAAATACAGTATGGTTAAACAAATATACTTCTATTAATTTCAAATTGTATGTAAAAGATAATATAAAAAGCCGCACCTTGTAATCAGATATTATTTTCATGGCTGTCGTGGTCGAGTAATGTCATTGAATTAGAATGAAATAAAATGAAATTTCTGTGCCTACTTTTACGCTAGTTCTGACATGTGTGGAGCGTCAATCGCTTTTGTTTATTATTTATTGTTTAAATCATAAGTCAGATCATCCTGCTGGCTTCTTCAGAGCTTAACTGAAGCTACGCAGGTAGCTAGTAACCTAGTACAAGGATCTAATAATATGGAGGTAAAAGTCTAAAGGTTGATTGACGTTGGTTAAGTGAATTGTTGATTAAGAATCTACAAAATTCAAAGGCGTGAAATCTCTCATTGAAAATTTGTCGTAGACGTTGTTGATAATTTTGTACTATTCCAACATAACGTTGGTAGAGTGTCTAGGTAAATAAGGTTTCGGCAGTTTTTTTCAAATGTCAAAGCACCTGCAGTCAACAATCTATATAGAAATTAGATCCTTGGCAGCGGTCCAAATAATCGACTCCTAAACATATTAAGAGCAAAACTTACGTGGTGGGATGTTCAAGGTCAGCGTGGTTGTGTTCGTAGGGATCATATTCGGAAGCTTCTTTCCGCTTCAGCTCGTTCAATTCGATTGCGTAAGTGTGGGCGTTGTCCTTGGGCGTCAGCAACTCCCTTGAATTTATAGCAGCGGAAAAACTGGAAATGTAAACAGAAATCACTGAAAAGCACTTTCGTGAGAGATATTTTTTGGATTCAGTTCAAGTCAAACCATAACGAAAAGTTATTGGCAATTTTACTGTTATCACTACGGTTACTTCTGTTTCTACTATAACAGGTTCTTGTACCATTTCGTTGGAAAAAGCAGTTTAACGAAACTTAGTTTGAACTTCAATCTAAGTTTGTTTATATACTAAATTTATATTAATTTTTCGGCTTGTCGGTTTATACAGACCAAATATTGAATAAAAAGTTGTTCGTTGTGCTAAAATGACCTTTTTCTCAATTTCTCGTTTTGGAAGTTACTCACAGATAAACTCTAGTATATATTTAATTTGCCATTGCAACATCCACAACTTCACATATGAGTCAAACATTTTGATTATTCAACTAATGTGAAGTTTAAGGCTGCAGAAAACTTCGGCAAGATGATGGTAAAAGTAAAAAACCCAAAAATACTAATATAATATTAAACTTATTGTGCAAAGTGCAAGATCCTGTAAGTCATCTTGAAGCTTGGCCAAGTTTTTATACAATTTGTATGTTTGCATTTGTTCCTATTTCAAATTTGTCTCTATTTATGGCATTGACTTTGGTGAAAGTCGTAGACAAATTTGTTTTATTTTGGTCAGCTCTGAGTTAACGAAAAATAATATCAGGCCCCGTAACGGATAACTATAAATTCAGAAAAACATGTCCAGTTTGATGGATTGTAAACAACTCGGTACCAGTTTCTTTTTTAGCCGAATTTAGCAACCACGCGCGAATTCGTCTCCCACCCGGTTAGCAGCCCCTCGCAAATTTCTTATATCAACATTCTTTTTGCAAACGAACATGCCATTACAGAATCGATTAACATAAAAATGCGGATAATGGTTTTGTACGTAATTTTCTACGAAATCGGTACGTATGCGGGTACAATTTGCAGTTCATGTTGGACTGTTTGAGATAAATAGATAACTAACCTAATTTTTCGCTTTAAAAGTAATTTAAAATGGATCATTCAAATCGTAGTTTAGCGATTTTCTGTGGTGCGTCAGCAACCAAATCGATTGCCAATTTCAAATTGTATGTATATAAGTGACTGCTACACATACACACACACACACACAACGAAAACCTGACTATATATATACAATAACAAATTTCTTGTCCTTGGGGAGAAGGAAATTTCTATGGCGTTTAATTTCCACAAAAACATAATAGTGGGAACTTCTAGGGGCTTCGTATATTCCGGCCATTATACGGGCGAATATGCTTGATCCATTTCGGTGTTGGAAAAGTTATGAAAAATAGCGCTTTTTAATAGGTCTACATATAGTTTAAAAAACAAATAAAATTTCCACAATACTTTAATTTATTTAGAAGGAATGTGAGAAATAGCCAAAATACAAAAACATCGTGAATAGAAAATAGTTACAATAACAAATTGGTTTCAGCATGAGATTGCGAGACTTCTAACTCTTATTACAGCCTGAGGTAGCGATTACTCAATCCTAATTACAAGGAGATAAATTATTTCCAAGAGATTTGTCGGATTAACAACAATTAATATTTATAAGGTTGCGCGGTAGGGGTTTTTTGATAAATCATTTATGTTATAGGTCTTGAAAAAGGAAATAGCAACGACAATGGCAATTTTTGTAAAACTGCAACGCCTTTGTTACGTTCTAAATTATAGAAAAACGTTTTGCACAAAATTATACCAGCTATGCTGTTTATTCAAATCTCTATATGCAAAATAATTCTTTTCAATACAGGGTGTTTGACTATAAAGTATCACATTTTAACAGTTTATAACTTGAAAACAAGAAAAAATAATGAATTTATTAAATTTGTGTCAAGTTTAAGTTGTCATTTTTTGAAAATCATTTTTGCTTATAAGAATAATTGCTTCATTTGATATTATTAGAAATGTTTCCGGTTGATTTCTAAACGAATTTAATAATGTTTTATACAGGATATAGATAATTTATTATTGTTTACCTTTAAAACTTTTTTAACTGTAGCAGTGCATTAATTAGTGTATTAATACGTTTCTTTTGTATTTACCTGATTAAACATTGTCATTTTCGAGTTGTTAAAATGTGACACTTATTGATGAACACGCAGTATATACTGTAGAATACAAAACTGAACAACATTGGCAGAACTACATTTATTTTTAAATACTGCAAGATTAATGAATAACACATTAATGGCCACGTGCCTTAAAATATATTTTTAAATATTCTAATTGGCACAGTTTGCTTAGGAATTTTAATTCAGCTTTTACGGACCAATAGAAGAGAACCTTTTCTGATAAAAATGTACTTATTCGATTATGACTTATTAAAATGATTATGAGGCACTTGAAAAGCAACGTTTTGCGTGCAAGGCGGACTGAAAAAAAAAACGTAATTTTTTAATGTCTGAATTAACGACATAATACGAAAACGTACAAATAATTTTTGAGGCGCGAACCCATCTAAAAATAAATAAAAAATCTTTTACGATCTGGTTTCGCATCGTGGCAACTACTCAGAGTTCGAAAAGAGTTTGTAAGCCAAACGTTGCGTAAGGCGCTGTCGAAATATTAACAAAAATAACGGCGTAAATTTTTCTAAAATAAAGAATACCTCTACCTACCCAACAGCTTATCAGGTCCATTTAAAAGAATGCATTCCTGGAAAACTTTATTAATTCTGATCGACGGCAATAAACTACGGTAATTTCATATCATTGCATTATCCATTATCTACCTACTTTAAATTATTGGCTCGTTTTTTTGACTTTGCAACGTCGACTAATTCAAATTTTTGAAGCGGCAACGGTTTTTTAATCGGTCGTATAATTCCAGCACCAATAAAGGAATAAATTTTGCTCGTTCTGACGAAATTTTATGCATATCTGTTTTATAAAAGAGCGTGTATTAAAATTTGGATGGTAAAAAGAAGCGACACCTGGCAATCCATATAAAAAAAATAGCTTTTTTCATTTCGCTAATGTTTACGGGATTTTTAATAATCATAGCACAAAAACTTCATTATAATGAGCTTTTTTCGCGGTATTTCCCATCACTATATGGTGTAAAAAAAGCAACAAATATATGGTAAATTCAGCGAAAAAAAAAGCAAACAAGTACCTGTTAAAACTGTCATTTCTACTTTCGGGAGCTAACCCTCCCTTTTTCTGGTCGCCACTCATCCCGCTACCGGTCGGGGGTTCACTGCTGACGTTTAATATCAATGTTCACGTCGTGCGCGTATTATCGGAACACTCTGTGTATAGGGAACCGTATCGGCTATGTCTCTGCGCTAACCTTCCGCATACACTTTCAGAGACAGACTGCTGGTAAACCGGGCGGGCTTGTGATTTTCAGACAAGTTGGAAAAAATTTACAAACAACTTGGCGAAATGTTTTCAAATCTGGGACGACAACGCGACAGCTCGACTGGATCAGACGAATGCATATTTTATATACTCGATCCACCTTTTTGTTTATCTTCATCGGACCAAGGTGACGAGGCGACGGAGTAATTGATATCGTCGACGATCTCGGTAGAGCCATGTCGTCATTGTTATCGAGTGCATGCAGGCACTTCGTTTACGCAAATTTAAAACTTCAACTGTTCTGAATCCTGATTGCGAACAAAGGATAATAATTGAGAATGGTGTAAATTGATTAACTGATTCGGTTGGGTAGGTTTCTTGGTCGCTTCTCATTCAGGCAAAATTAATTTTGGCCAAAATTTTTAGTTCCCCTTTTTGAACACCAAAATATTAATCTGGCTATAAACAAAAACAAATACAAACAAGAAAACAAATAAAAATAAAAACAATTATTTTGTTTTTTGTTATAGTTTACCTAGTCATTTATAATGTGTATTTAATTTTTGTTCGGTAAATATTTCTTTAATGAAAAGTTCCAAAAAGTTGATACTATTAATAGCTGCATGAATTAAGTATGCTTAAAAGCTTTAATAAATATTATACGCATTTTTTATTAAATAAAAATACTAAAATATTGCCATTTGCTCTTTGACTCAAATCTATGCTTTAATAGAAACGTGAATAACTAAATTAACAGAGCTACAATGACTAGTGCTAGGTCTTACTATTTTTTTACTTTTCTTTTAGAGGAACTCTCAGACTGTTTATGGATTTTTAGATTGGACACATTCTCAGGACAGTTTCTCGAATATTTTCTAAAATTTGAACCTTCCATCAGAATGGTTTTAGATAATAATTGCGGAGTTATGGCGTCATAAGTACTTCTATACTGAAAAACTGAAAAAATTGATAAGATTAGTTAAACTCGGTTCAGAAATAGGAGGTTTAAGTATTTTTTAATTTTTTACATTTATCAACATTTTTGGCTAATATTTATTTGTAGGTATCTTCTAGTAGCGACTTTAAACAGTATTCAACAGTAAGCTATGCTATTCCGGTGAGGTTCCTATAATCTATTTTTACGATAATTTACATGGATAACATAAAACTTGATATACAAATAGAATTATTAGATATATGGTTAATTTAATTGTATTAAGTGTGTTGAGAAAAATGCCTTTAATTAAATATTGCTCACTTTATTTGACTTCCACATAGTTTTGTATAAATATTTATAAATTTTGTGAAATGTAAAAAAAAGCATTTTTTTCAGTTACAAAAAAAAATAATGCACATTATTATCACTAAGCTATATTGCTTCAAAATTCTATAAAATTTAATATAGTGTATTATGCAACAAGTGCGGTAAACGGCATTTGAATCACGAGTTTATATGGCATGAGCAGAGCGAGTGACTTAAAAAGTTGCGTGTTGCGTACTATACTTTTTCTGCGACCGTTATTTTTTGGGTACATTTTTCCAAAACAATACGAATACACCAACTCGTTTATCGTTTATTAAACACTCGCTCGGCTGGGCTCCGCTCGTAAACTCGTGAGTCAAATGCCGTTTACCGCACTTGTCTTAAAACTTACTACTTTTCAATA